CTCTCGGCGCTGCCCTCTGGCCTTCCGGGGTGGGGGGGCCTGGGCCTGTGGGGGCCACTCCGAGAGGAAACGGGCGAGTGCAGCTGGACTGTCCGGCCGCCCGGAGAAGACTCACGCTTCCTACAGGGGCCCTTGACTGGGGTCCCGGGAGAGCGCGGGGTCAGGCCTGTCCAGGGCGGTGCTGGCCTGACCGGCCCTCGGGGAGGACGCCGGGACGCCGGGCCCCGTGTCCCTGAGCCCGTCCCCTCGCTGCCGTCCCCCTCTGGCAGAGCCGCCAAGACCACTCGGGGCCGACGAATGTTTCCTGCTTCTTGGAATCTGCCCCTTTCGAATATCAGTGCTCTGGAAAAGAGATTTATTTTAATAATGTACATTTTCGGTTTGTTCTGCAGCTAACGTTGTTTTATGGCTCTGTCCTTTGCCAGAAAGCACATTTCAAGAGTTTCGATTCAAAATTAAATATGACCTCAGTGTTTTAAAACACAATTACATTAACTGTCCGTTTAATAGTTGCTTAAGATTTTTTTGGCCACTAATGTGTAGTCGGTCTGCTTGCATGATATTAAACACGGCCTTCCCAGCGCCGCTCGCCCACGAACACGGCCAGCGGCAGCCACAGGCGGGAGAGCGAGACCCTGGCAGCCGCGGCCGGCGCTGGGCCGGACCCAACACCAGGGGCACCTCGGCATCTGCCTGGGTCTGCCCGGGGGCGGGGTGGCTGGTGTGGACGGGCAGGGTGTCCACAGGTCAGGACACTGGGCGAACTAGTGGCCCTCCCCACGTGAGCTGTGTTCCTACGGCAACAGCGAAACCCAGCCGCTCCCCTCCCAAGACGTGAACCCTCCCTCATGACACGGAGCAGCCTTGGAGCAGCCTGAGGGGGTCAGTCTCGTATGAGTCAGGGCTGTTTCCCACAGGGAAAGGCCCTCCATGTGGAGATGAACCCAGACCCTCCCCGTGAAGGGCTGTGCAGCTAAAGAGGGGGCCAGGGTCCCCGGTGCACCAGCCCCCACCCCTGCCTGGGTTCTCCCCACTGTGCACACACACCTCCAGGGACTCGCCAGGCCACGGGTGTCCCTCAAGGGGCTGCTCTGCCCAGAGGCCCACCCAGACCCCAGGTGTCTATCAAAAGCTTTAGATCAGATGGAAGCAGATCTTTGCCTGCGGACCGGAGCAAGCTGACAGAAGCAACTATGGACCCAGCAGGAAGACCCCATTGCTGCTCTGACAGGGGTCATTGAGAGGGTTGGGGGGAGCCGTGTCCGGTGGAAGGGCCAGGGGGAACCATGTCCCATGGTGAGGGTCTGGGAACTGCATCTTTGTCACAAGACACAGTGATCTCCTGCCGTCGGTGCGGTTCCCCTATAGCCTGTGTCCCCTCGCTGCTGACTGGGGCCACCACAAATCAGCCGAGAGCTCCAGGCCTCGGGCTGTGGTGCTGCCCTGCTCTCCCCGGCAAAGGGGACACGCCATGCTGGGCGCTTGCATGGGTCCACTCTGCCCCCAAGCCTGACGGACCCCGGACCCATGCACGGCCCCTCCTGAGGCCACTTTCATTGCTGTCCATGCTGCTGGCCGAGGCCCGACTATCTTCTCCCACCTGTGGTCTGGGCACGGCTCTGGGTGACCTCGCCGCAGGGACATGGAAGCGCCTCTGACCCACGGGAAGAGTCAGCTTCCAGAACCCTCCCTGGCACCCTGCCGGCCGTGGAGACCAGCCACGCCCTGAGCTGCCTGAGAACGTCACCCAGGGCCACTCCCGGTGACCCAGGCCTCGTGGAAACCCCCGTCCAGAGCCGCTCCCTCTGTCACTCTCGGCCAGGGAACACGGCCCCAACCCTTGCCTCTCGGGGTGAAGGCAGGATTCGGACGGGAGGGACGGGGGAGGACGGGGGCACAGGACGCCCATAAGGTGCTGACAATGGAAAGTCCGTCTCCTGGAAGGTGCGGCTGGGGCGAGGGCTGAGGGGGGAGCAGGAAGGTGGTGACCCCCGGGCGGTGCCTCTGACGCGTGCTCCATCCCGCGCGCAACCCCTGGCATCTCCTCTGGTCCCCCGGGCACGGTCGGGAGCGCCGTGACCCCTGGGCCCTGACCGCCACCGGGCGCGCACCCGGCAGCTGCCTCTTCAGCGAGTGTTCCCCAAGGGGCAGGAGCAGAGGGAACCCGCTCCGTGTCCCGCCCCGCCCCGCGCGTCCGTGGCTAATGTCTCTGCGCGTCGCTCGGAGCCTTGAATTCAGCTGGGAAGGGGCCCGCTGCCTCGGCTGCGAGCCGCCGGGCTCCGCGCCGACCCCGCTCCGCGCAGACAGAGGCTATTTGAACTCATCATTCGCTGCATTTACAATATTAATAACTGCGTTCCTCGAAGTTGTCACATCAAGTGAAAGATCTTCATCCCGGACTGTCTTTGGGGGCCACACGGAGGCTGGATGCGTGCGTTTAATAAATTGTAGTCTCAAGTAGTCATTTTTGTAAATAATTAGTTTCTGTGAAAGAATAAGTTAGCATATTGCACGCGTCTAATGTTGCGAGTGTACACACGGCAAACTTTGCTATTAATCAACAGTCAGCCACCACAAGTGAGGGCTCATACATAATGAATTGTGCTTAACTCTCATGGGTTTCTTGATAGAAAAATAAAAGAAAACACAAGTGTGGTAAGCTTTTGAATAAAATTTAACTAGATTGCTCTGCATCCTGTAATTGTGTGGGAGCCATCGGGGACCTGATAATTCATCTATAGTTTTGGGGTGTTTCTATCTTCATCTGTCAGAGAGGAGAGATTTTTAATGATATGTTAAAGTGTTGATAAAATACAATTTTCCTTTCAACAGCTGGGACGTTGAGGGCAGAGAGCGAAGATCCCTTTCAAGGCCTCTCGTAAGCCGGACCTGCCCTTTAAATTGTCTCCCTCGAATGCTGTGATTGTATTTTTAAAGAGAAAACTTGTGCCGTTCGTGGGGCAGGTGCCGCACCTGGGCAGTGTCTGGAAGTTTCTGTAAAACTGTGTGTCTTGGTGAGCGTTTTGAAATACTGCCGTGATTTCTCAGTGGTCCTGTTTCGGTTCCGACATTAATTTAAACCCCAGATGTCAAGGGCTGTGTTGCCGTTAGAAGCCAATGCCTGGGGGCCAGCGCTCGTCTGGCTGCAGTCGCCCCCGGTTTTTGATCCAGCCAGGAGCCGCCCTGAGCACCAAGGCCCGCCCGGGCACGTAGCCTCTGGCAGGAGCTGGGTTCGGCTGGGGCCTGTGGTGCAACTGAGGGCCAGAGATTCACCCCGTGTGCCCGTAGGGTTAGGGCCTTGGCCGCCCTGCCCGAGGCCGCCAACTCCCATCCAGGCAGTGGGTTCTCTGCCCCAGAAGCGGGATCTGGGGAGCCTCCCCCCCCACCATGTACCCGCACACGGTCACTCAGCTCCGTCTCCTCCCTTCGGGGGCGTGTGGCCGCAAGGCTGGGGCGGCCAAAGCTCCTGGCAGGCCCCTGGCAGGACCCGGCCCCGCGACTCAGCCCCTTCCTCGGGCTGTTGACTCAGTGCAGCCGCACCTGGCCCGGTCTCGGTTTCCACTCTCTGCCGTTGGGCACCGAGACGCCATGGGAAGAATCCCACAGCCGCGGCCGCGCGCACCCAGACACTGCCCACATGGCCGCTCACCGGGGGGTGCCCTGGAGGGGCAGGGCACGGGCACTGGCAGGGGCAGGGCGTGGCGAGGCTGATCTGTGTCAGCAGCCAGGGACCCGGACAGGAGCGTCTCTGAGTGCCAGTGTGACGCTTCCCAGTCCAGGCCGGCTGGCAGCAGTTCCCATCCAGTCTCATAGAACAAAACCACCTGAGCTTTGGCACAAAGTTCTTAAATGCAGGAAAAATCCACCCGACACGGGACAAATCCCTGCTCTTGACCCGGGAGACTGGACCGGGGTGGACACGGCCTGCTGGCCAGTAGGCAGACCCCAGAGGGCTTCCAGGGGCCTCTCTGCCAAGCCCAGGCCGCCGTCCTCCAAGAAGAGGGTCCTGCCCCACACAGGCCTCCCCCAGGACCCTCAGTGACAGCCGCTGTAGCTCCCCTGGGAAAGAGTCGTGGGCGTGTGGGTTGTGCCCATTGGTGTCTGGCCCCCACCCGGGTGCCCCCTGGGAAGGCCAGCGACAGTGGACACGGCCTGGCTCTGCCCTCTCCCGGGCTGCTCTGCGCTCGCTGGCGGCGGAGGTCCGGCCTCGGGGTGCCTGGCAGCAGGACCAGCTTCCCCTCACCCCGGCCGCCGTCCGGCCGGCACTGCTGTGGGCCGGGGATTGACGCTCCGGTGCCCCAGCCTGGGGGCCACGAGTCTCGGGGCCTTGGGGTGCGGGACTTATGGGCGCGTGGCCCCCCGGCACCGGCACCGGCTTCCGGGTTTGCCGGGAGGGAGGCTCGAGCGGCCGGGATGCCTGGCACAGCCGGGCGGCCCGTCGGGACCGAGCGCCCAGCTGGGCGAGGCAGGGAATCGATTTCACTTTACGGCAGAAACGGCAACCTGTGTCATGTCTTTGAAAAGTGGTTTTATGTGTGTGTTTAATGCCATCCATGTTAAAGGCAGTATCATAAATCCTTGCTTGGGAGTCAAAGCGGTTTAATTACGTTTCACCCACGAATGGTCATCTCATGCCGATGGAGAAAGAGTTAAAAGGCGCCGCAGACTGACCAGAGGTTGAGATCTTTAGCACACGCATAAAAATTCAATTTAAGATGAATTTTGCCACTATAAAATTCTTCGAATGTCCTCCTACGAGTGGGGGTGCAGGAGAGCCCACCCCCCCTTTCTGCTCCTTAGGGTGGGGCTGGGGGTCGGGGGCAGCCGGTGTCCCTGCAGGTGGGGCCCCCCACAGCCCGTCTGCACAGCGCTCACAGTGCTCCACGCAGGCCCGAGGTTCCCGTGGCCACCATTGCTCCCTCTCCAGTGCTCCCGGGGTCAGCGCAGGCTCCGCTCACGTGTGGGGATGCTCCTGCTGACCTCCTGTCCTTGCTTTGCAGCCCTGTGGCAGCTCCAGCGCCCCTCAAAGACACGCCGACGCCTCTTGAACAGTGCGCAGCCTGGCTGCACGCCTACTTCCGTGAGCCCGCAGCCGCGGGGCTGCTGCCCTGCCCGGCCGTCCACCACCCTCTCTTCCTGCAAGGTCAGTGCCACTCCGGGCCCTGCCCAGCGCTGACCCTGACCCACGCTTACCCACAGCTCGAGCTACTGACGCCCACTGCGGCCTTGTCACATCATCGAACAGGCAGCAGATGTGGCTGCCTGGGAGGACGAGCGTCCGGCCTTGCTCCTTGAAGACGTCTGGCCACTCTCGGGGGGCAGTAGAGGCGAGGCCTGCAGAGTCGGGGCGGGGGGGGGCACAGCTGGATAAAACGAGGCGTTATCCCACTCCGCCACCAGCCAGCACGGGACGGGCACATGGCGCTCCCGTGGCAGGACCGGCTCGTGACACTCCCGTGGCTGCTCCCGTGGCAGTGCCTCTGTGCTGTGTCTCAGGGAGGAGTCTCAGGGCACGTGGCCGAGGGCCTGGCTTCATCCTTCAGGAACAGGGGACAGACGGGCGTGTTGAAACGTTCCTGGGCACTTCCCCGGAGCTGCTGCTCTGTGTGTCACGGCAGCTGAGGCCACGGCTGGCGTCTCAGGCTCTCCAGGGCCACGTCAGCCAGCAAGTGTCTGTCCACGGGCTGGTCCTGAAGGGGGAGAGGACGGCGCAGCTCCTGGTGGGGGCACCAGGAGGGCCCAGTGGGGAACTGAGTCAGAATGGGTCTTCGGGGCCCCTCCCCCGGGCTGGCCACAGGCTGGGTGCTCTGGGTTCGAGCACTCTCGGGGGTCTGGGGCCTCTGGACTCTGCCCTGCGGGAGTAGGTGTGGACAGGAGCCGCCCAGGCCGTGCCCTGGCTTCTAGACCCCCATGCCCAGGGAGCCTGTGACCGGGCCGGGCAGGGGCGGGGCGGAGGGGATGGAGAGGGGGCCTGCCCCTGGCACCCAGCCCCCTGTGGCCTAGGACCAGCCCCGCTCCCGCCCCACCACCAGGACTTGGAAGTGACCTTTAGGGTAGGAATGACCCCTCTCAGTGCCTTGGGGAAGTGGCTGGGGGTCCCCTGGGCCGGTCACCTGCTGAGGGCAGTTTTCCTGCCTCTGCTGTGCTGACTGTTTTCTCCTCTGGCACCTCCTCCCCGCGGGGACCAGATGTGGGATTTTACGGCCGGAGGAGAGGCTGGACGGTCACACAGCGGCTAACGGGGAGCTCATCGGCGCTGACCCGCACACGTGGGGTCCCTTTTCTTCTGCTACTCTCTCTGTCCCGAGTTGCCGCTTGGGTTATTGGGGACATAAGCATGGGTGCGAGCATCAGAGAAGCAGCGTGGCTGTGCCGGGAGGACCAGGGGCGCCTCAGGGAGAGTCTAGCCCGGGGCGGGGGGGGGGGGGGGCACGGCCCCACATCTCGGTCTCTCCCCGGACACAGAAGCACCCACTTAAAGACACGCTCCCCTCTGCACACGCCACCCGGGCCGGTGGGTGGGTGTGACGCGCCTCACGCAGCCCAGGCTGATAGGGGGGTCTGACATGCCTCACCTCTGCCCTGCAGCACTGGGGCCCGCAGCCCCCCGGGAGCTGAGGGTCTCATGTTCGGGAGAACAGGCCGCGAGGCAAGGACAGACCAGGAGCATCGGGAGCTGTGTGAGCAGCCTGGGCGGCGAGCCCCGCCCCACCAGCACAGAATGAAAATGCCAGGGAGGGACACGGAGGGGTCCACAGGGGACACGGGACAAGGGTGAGGAGCCCAGGCTCGGTGGGCAGGCAGCCCTGGCTTTGGTCATGTGACCCCAGAGTCGACAGCCCCGTCAGCTGGGACCCACTCAGCCAGTCGGTCGGGTGCGTGGAGGGTGGGTTCACGCACCAGGAGAGGGGCAGCAGGGAGATGCTGCTGGCCAGGGCTTCCCAGTCTAGAAGGTTCCGACTCTGCTCCTGCTGCCGGGACTAAGACCAGCACCAACAGCCTGTCCGAGCTGTCGGAGGCGCCAGCCCTGCTGCTGCTCCCCAAAGCCCCAGCTAGGAAGCCTCGCCTCCACCGCACCAGGGGCTTGTTCCCAAGACCTGCCCGCCGTGGCCTGCCCCAGTGCCCAGGGCCTGCTCCCTCTGTCATGCCACAATGCTCCCTCTGTCCTGCCCAGTGCTCCCTGTCCTGCCACGATGCTCCCTCTGTCTTGCTGTAGTGCTCCCTCTGTCCTGCTGCAGTGCTCCAGGACACGGCTCCCTCTATCCTGCTGCAGTGCTCCCTCTGTCCTGCTGTGTGCTCCAAGCTCAGACTCCCTGTGTCTGGCCACGTCTGCTGGGGCCTCCTGTCGTCAGGGGCTGACCAGCCGTGTGGAATCACCTCCGTGGGAGGTGAAGCCTCAGGCCCCACTTCTGTGGAGGATTTCCCAGTGTGGCCCGAGGCCAGTTTAGCCGTCGGACTCCGAGGCAGCCGGGGCGGCTGCCTGGCTGGTCCTGCAGGGGGGACGTGTGGCCTCCGAGGGTGAGGGTGTGTCTGCGTTCAGGGCAGCGTCTGGGAAGATGCCGAGGCCACGTGTGTGGAGATTCTCCTGGTGTGTCCCGGTGCTGCAGGCGTCCGCCGTCGGGTGCTGGGGGCGCTGAGCGACCCCCCCAGAAGTGCTCTCTCGGGATCAGGACTTCGTCCTTGAGGGGAAGCCCGTGTTTCTCTGACGGAGTCCGGGAGCGTCTCTGGGTTTCCCGAATCCTCCGTCTCACGTTCTAAACCAGCTCAGCTCCTGCCGAGGCCGCAGAGTCAGAGGCGAAAGCACGAGGGGAATCCGGGGAGTGGGGTCCCCACGCCCAGGCCACGCGCGGCGGGTGTTCCCCGCGGCCCAGGTCCCCGTGCTCTCGGCCGTCTCACACTCGGCGGCTTTCACAGATGGTCCCTGAGTTTTCTTTCCAAAGCGCCCGCGATGCTCCCTTTGAAATGAGGTGCTTAACACTTTCATAATTCCTTCGTCACAGCCATTAGCTCGCGGCTATGAAACACGGCCGCGTGACCACGGTGGAACCTGCCGGCTCCAGGCAAGTCTGTGACTTCTCAGAGGCTCCGAGAAGCTCGTCTCCCCCCAAGACCGCCCACTCCCTCCTGCCCCAGCTGCCGCCTCCCAGGGGCCGCCCGACCCCCGGCCTCACCGGGGACGAGCTCGCAGAGCCGAGTCGGGCTGGAGACTCCCAGCCACGGCAGCCCCCGAGACCTAGGGAGGGGCCTCCTCATCTGCGTCCTGTGGCCTTGGCGTCAGCCCCTGTCCCTGGGCAGGGCCACCTCAGCACTGCGCTGCCGAGCCCTGGGGAGATGCTCGTGTGTGCCTGGTCAGCGCCAGCTCCTGCCCTTTGGATGAAGGAACCACGGCAGGTGCCCGCTCCCCGGTGCTCCTCCGGTGGGGCCCGGTCCCCAGCTTGGCGTTGGATCTGCTGGGAAGGAAGCCCGGAGTGGGGGGAGCCGCACCCCTGAAGCCCAGAGGTGCTTCTCACGGAAAGAGATGGGGCGCCCCCGGGAAGTGAGGCTGGCATTGGTCGAGGGAAGGTTCTGGAAGGTGGAAGGGTGTATGAATGCGTCTAGGCCTCCTTGGACCCGCCGGCTCTGCGGCAGAGAGGAAGACCCGGGTATTCTGGGGAGCTGTGGCCAGGCCCCCTCCTCAGGCTGAGCCGTCCCCCGCCCCCCAACCCCCACCCACTGTTGCGTCCTGCCGCGTCCCCATGGTCGGGGGACGTCTGCCTCCTCACATTCCCCCGCTGGGGGGTGGCTTCACGGGAGCCCGTGTGTAGTACCGCCCTGCGGATGGACCCCCGTGAAGGCACCGGTGGAAACACCACAGAGATGAAGGTGTCACCAGACCCCAGGCCAGGGTTGGGGGCTCAGCGGCTCCTATCCCCAGGCCCTGGTGAGGGGCTGTGGGCCCTGCTGGTCTCTCCCTGTCTCTGGGGCCGAGCCCACGGCGCACCTGCCCGGGGCTGCACCAGCTCCCAGGTCTGTGCCCTTAGGACGGAGTGGGAGTCACTGGCCGCATTTGCCCTGCTGGGGAATCTCACTGGCCAGAGCTCAGGGCCCGGATTGGGTGCACCCACAGTCCCGGCCACCGTGCTGTCCCGCGCTGGTTTCCTCTTGGTTCTGAGCAGAAGCATCCTGGACGAGGGCAGCCTGGGCAGTTCGGCAGTCTGCACAACGTTGTCTGTTCATTTCAGCCTTTCCAGACATCGGTGCTCGAGAAAGCTTCCCCTTAATATTTTGCCAGATTTGCATGATTTTCACCCCTCCCTCGGACATAAAAACGTTTGGATAGACGAATGTGTTTATACACAGACTGACTGTGAGTACCCGCGTGTAGGTGTGTGAGAGAGCATGTGCACGTGTGCAAGTACGTGTGTGAGTGAGTGTACGTTCGTGTGTGTGTGTGCACATGAGTGCATGTCTGTGAGTACACGTGCATGAATGTGTGTACATGTGAATGTGTGCCTGCGTGCGTGAGTACATACAAGTGTGCACGTGAGTGCACGTGTGTGCATGTGAGTGTGCGTGCATGTGCTTGAGTGGATGGCACAGACCTGCCTCACTTGAGCACCGTTGCTCCCGTTACGTTGGCCCTGGCGACCAAATGCTTTCCGCCGTGCGTTTCACCCTACATTAAGTTCAACTCTCTTCGCTATTGCCTGAGACGATTCTGTCAACTCCGGGAGACGTTTGCTGGCGTTTCTGGCCGAGTTCGAGGTTGTGCACGTGTCCTCTTGCTCAAGGAGCTGCGCATGGTCAGTGGGCGAGGCAGGATGACCCGGCCGGAGGGTGAGGAAAGCTCTTCCCGGGCCGGTATGTGCCTCGGTGGCTCGGGCCTGCTCCTGCTTTGCCGCCCTAAGTTTGGTCCCCCACGCTGGGGAGATGAAAATGCTGCCGCTGTAAACTCGCCAGGGTCCGAGGCTCGTTCTGCCGGTGACCTGTGGTCTCTCGGGAAGGGGTCGGTGTGGTGGGTGGGAGATGCCCCTTTCCTGCCAGCTGCCGGGGCGGAGAATCTGCGTCATGGGTTGCAGAGTCTGTCCCGGGCGCCCGCCCCTGCCGAGGTCTGGGCGGTGCGAGGGACCCGGGGGTCCTGGGAGGCTCCTGGTCAGAGTTCAG